ATTCTCATACGTCTTATTGCACAGTCTTAGAAATCCTGCTCAAATTTTTTAACATGACTTTGATTGTTCATGATGTATAAGCAAGATGTTCACCACACATCTCCCAATGATGGAGTTAGTTTGAGAGGGATTATAGCCCCTGACAACTTTGAAATATATGTACCATTATATTAAATTTTTTACAAATTTAGGAATTAAAATAATTGGTATGGCTTCATTTCATAAATGGGTAGCTCAATGAGTATGACATTGTCCGCTTAGGGCCAAGCCCGTACGGTTTTACTCTTGGGTGTCCTCCCCAAAAGGTCTCGTACTAATTGGGTTAGGTGGACACTAATATACAAGGGTTCCTACCCTTGTATTAATGTGGTACTTGGATTGTCCCATAACAGTCATCCCCTCAAGACAAGGACCACGAACTTCGTGTCCCTACCTTAGCGATTATCTTGATCCGCCAGACACCTTGTATCGATGGGCTTCTCGGTACAAGGATTTTCCCAGACATAGAACTCTCTTTGATCCGCCGTACAAACGTGAATCTCTATTGGATCCATAAGACAAACGCATATCTCAAATCCCGAGGTCACCGATGAGGGTCCCACCAAACTTGCGTTCACCGCCCCAAATAGAACCAGACTCTTATACCACTTGTTGAAATCGGGTAGCTCCATTAGTACAATATTGTCCGCTTTGGGCCAAAGCCTCACGATTTTACTCTTGGGTGTTCTCCCCAAAATGGCTCGTACTAATTGGGCTAGGTGGACACTAATATACAAGGGTTCCTTCCCTTGTATATCCGATGTGGTACTTAGATTGTCCCATAACAATCCTCCTCTCAAGACAAGGACCACGAACTTTGTGTCCTCTCCTCAGTGATTATCTTGATCCACCAGACACCTTGTATCAATGGGTTTCTCGATACAAGGATTTTTCAAGATGCGGAACTCTCTTTGATCCGCCAAACAGACATGGATCTCTCCTGGATTCACCAAACGCGGAACTCTCTTTGATATGCCAAACTAGATGTAGCCCAGACGCGGAACTCTCTTTGATCCGCCAAACATACACGAATCGCAAATTCCGAGGTCACAGAATGAGGGTCCCACCCGCACCGAACTAAATAATCAGGCTCTGATAACACTTGTCATAACTGGGTAGCTCAATTAGTACGATATTGTCCGCTTTGGGCCAAGCCCGCACGGTTTTACTATTGGGTGTCCTTCCCAAAAGGCCTCGTACAAATTGGGCTAGGTGGACACTAATATACAAGGGTTCTTTCCCTTGTATTACCGATTTGGTACTTGGATTGTCCCATAACACTTCAGCCATTTTCTTCAAATTACCACAAATCAAATAAGCCCTTTATCGTTGAGATTGTTTACTACATTGTTGCATCTATCACACACCAACCATGGTTGTTTGAATAACCCTCTCGTGTGGAGAGGGGGGAGGGGGGTATGCCTCTCTAATACTATCACTCCACAGAGGGCTCATTGCAACCTCTTTGGTCTGTATGTACTATGTAGTCGAAACATTTGAAAGGTCGGGAGCAACATGATTTTCCGAGGTTGTGGCGTTGTGCCTCCATATACAAGTATTACAATATAGTCAAGCATGACAAAATGGAATGGACAAATCCCTGATACTATTGAGATACGCCACACCCCAAATCCTTCTTCACCACCATTGGAGATTCACTCTCCATTCTCCAAGATCTAGTATGTGACCACAAGCTAGCACCTTTCTTCTGTGTCGTTAATACAGAAGCATTAGTGCAATTAATGTACAACCTCATATCTCAGCCTTAAATTCGTTGTGTTTGGGTCAAAATCCGCGCTCACATCACTTGCACATCTCATTTCTCCCATATCATATTTGGTTTTGATAATTAAGCAATCGTTTTACCTCTAATCAACTGACGATAGAATTTATTTCTCATTTCCGCTAAAAATCGTGGATCATATACCACAACACTAACACGCCCCCTCAAACGAAAGCCACTCACAAGGGCTTGAAGTTTGCACAGGTCTGAAGATAAGAATACCATGTGCTTAACAAATGGGGGTCACCGGAAATCGAACACAAGACCTCTCGGTCACAGAAGGCTCTGATACCATGTCAAGAACCAGTTGATCCCAATAACTCGAGTTGTTGGAAGAGGTTCAATCGTGAATCATATACCACAACACTAACACCATCATGGTAGACCAAAGACAACGAACTCGTGAATTCTCTATGTAAGGACAACGACTAAGCGGTGAAACATACATATTCTTGTCGTTCAAAAATATTGACCAGACACTAATTGATTAGTTTTCTTTGGCGGTTGGAGTGGTGTGCTACCCACCTGGACAATTAATGTTGTGTCCACCGTACTGAGCTACTCATGGGCTATCTAGCACGATACGACACGAATATATGGATTGGCTCGACACGAGCACAAATACTTCGCGTCGTATGAGACTAAGTCTTTTGGGATCCCATTGAGTTGCACAACGAAGCACCAAAAATACTTCTTTTTTAGAAAGTTAATATAAATAGAAGTATGAGTAAGTCTTATTAGCGCAGGTGTTCGTCAACGATGAAAACCGCTGAACTTAAGACTCGAGTTGAGAAAGAGGGCTAGGCCTAGGAGAGGAGGATTTTTCGGGACTGGGGAAGACGGGTGGGTTATAGAGCTAGGGGTGGATCGAAGTTTAAAAAGTAAAAAATATAACTCCAACAGATAATGAATTTTGACTTTTATAAGTTATCATAGAAATATCTAATCTTCTGCTGCCATAAATAGTAATTCGGTTCAGTATTGCAGCTAGTCTCTCGATTGGAGTATGAAGCTAAAAATAGCATAAATTTAAAATAAAAAACACGCGAAGACAAAGTCATTACCGCGGGGTTAAAGACACATTTGGTCACTGAGATTACAAAATCGGGACATGTTTAGTCACTAGAAAAAATTAATATCAAATTTGGTCACTACAATTACTAAAACTGGACGCATTTAGTCACTCGCCGTTAGTCTCCGTCCAACTCCGTTAATGAAGTCCGTTAAGTGCTGATGTGGCAAACAGAATTGCCTAATCAGCCGGATATAACCCAACAAAAATAAAACCCGACCCGCCAAGTCATTATAACCCGCCACCTCATTAAAACCAACCCAACCCAACCCATGACCCAACCCTACCCAACTCTTCTTCCTCCTTCCTCCCCAACCCAATTTAGGGTTTTCCCCATCCCATAATGACGGAGAGATCTTCTCCCCGCTCAGCGAATTGAACCGACAGGGCCCTGGAACCCTAATTTCATCTCATAAACCTGTCCCAAACCCACCTCAAAAACAGAGAGCGAACATCAATTGAGATGATAGCTAGCGGCGGCCGTTTTATCTCTGTTATTATGCCACAGCTATCCACATAAATGGAAGCGTCTGGCCTCTTTGCTTTTGCTTCTGGGGAGCTCCACTCATGGCGGTTGAGGGCGCAAAGATAGATAAGGTCACCTGCAACGAACGAAGGAACGAAACCCATGTCTCTGAAAAAAAGCATAACCCTTTTTTTTCTTTTCCATGAAGGAATATAATTATTAGCAGCGATCAAAAAGCTTCCCCTCCCACCTTTTCTTCCTCTCCCCGCTCAGCGAATTGAACCGACAGGTCCTGGTGCCAAGTCGGAGAAGGAGGCCGGAGAAGATCTCTCCGCCATTATGGGATGGGGAAAACCCTAAATTGGGTTGGGGAGGAAGGAGGAAGAAGGGTTGGGTCATGGGTGGGTTGGGTTGGTTTTAATGAGGTGGCGGATTATAATGACGTGGCGGGTCGGGTTTTATTTTTGTTGGGTTATATCCGGCTGATTAGGCAATTCTGTTTGCCACATCAGCACTTAACGGACTTCATTAACGGAGTTGGACGGAGACTAACGGCGAGTGACTAAATACGTCCAGTTTTAGTAATTGTAGTGACCAAATTTGATATTATTTTTTTCTAGTGACTAAACATATCCCGATTTTGTAATCTCAGTGACCAAATGTGTCTTTAACCCCATTACCGCGTTATATTTTCAATTTTCTTTTTCTCTTTATTTGTTATTTGTCTCAAACCTTCTCAATTAATACTTTTATTTTTTTAACTTTTTTTCATTTTAACTTTTATTTTTCATCCTTTCATGAAGCACGAATATAAACATAACAAAAGCACGAGTGAGTACGACACATTTCAAACAGTGCCAAACATTTGGTCGCCCCTAGGGCTGCAAATGAGCCAAGCCGCTCGTGAGCAACTCGGCGTTCGAATCGGAAAAAACTCGGTCGACACTCGACTCGTTATTTAACAAGCCGGCTCGCGAGCTAACTCGTTAGTTAACGAGCCAAGCCTGAGCTAGACCATGCTCAGCTTGATAAGCTCGCGAGCTAGCTTGATTCGGTGGCTTATCGAGCTAAGCTCGCGAGCTGCCTTGTTTTGAGCTTGTGGAAGGATGAATTACTCTTTTAAACATGAACATTGTCTTCTAATACAGATGTGTATGAAATTTAGATATTATTTATAGTTTCTAGTGTTCTTTCTATCATTTAAATTCTTATGTTTATACATTTTTCCAGCAAAAATGATTTTAAATCGAGCTCATCTTGAGCCGAGCTTGTACTCAGCTTGACAAGCTATGTTAATGAGCATTTATCGAGCTCTACCGAGTCGAGCTCGAGCCAGATTATTTTTATTCAAGCCGAGCTCGAGCTCGAGTCGGATTATCAAAATTCGAGTTCGAGCCGAGCTCGAGCTGAAAAATTAATAAACGAGCCGAGCTCAAGCTAAGCAAAAACTCGACTCGACTCGGCTCGTTTGCAGCCCTAGTCGCCCCAAGCATATGGCCCGTCACGACACGAGAGACATGCGTGGGGTGATCGATGATCATTCAACCAGGGCTCACGAAATGTCCGTGTGCTGGTGTTTAGAGAATCACTACCCTTTTACCACAGAAAACGGAGGAGTTTTCTTTTTTATTATAACACTACTGATTCTTGCGGTTGCTTCTGACCTCACTCTCTCTCCCCCTCTCTCCGCTCCGTCTCTATCTCCTTCGCTCCCCGACCGCCGACTTCCTAACGGTTCGCCGCCGTCTTTCCTCGCAGCACTTCCGATCAGAACGTACGCCTGAGTTCCTTTTCCCTCTTGATTTGGTAGTTTCTGTGATCTGCGTCCGCCGTTTCAATCCGGCGGTTTCTCCCACCATTTTCTTGCTTCCGGTGTAGTTCATTCGCTCTATTTTGAACTCGGCAGCAGCTTCGAGGTCGAGACGCCGTTGGGAAGGTAATCTCTCTCTCTCTCTCGTCTTTCGGATTCGTGACGGTAGCCTTCGATTTTGCTGCAACATCCGGTTACATTTTCCTCTTCAACCGACGATTCATGGCGATGTTTTGGTCTTCTAGTGTTGTACTTGCTCTCTTCCTTGGGGAAATTTCATAGTAATGTGAGAAACTTCGATTTTCAAGTTGATCGTTTCGTTCTCTGCTTGCTCAGTGTTTGTTTAGTAATTTTACATCGCTGACTTGTTGCCCTAAACTTTGGACCTGTGAAGAACATTGAAGCTTCTTACTGAACGGAGATGGTGTTCATTTCGGGAGTCACAAGGCTGAAAACATAGTCATCTTCTTTCTTGTTCCCTTTGCTTTTCTGAAGAGCAAAGGGATTCCTACCTTGAGATTTGCTGTTGAACTTTACTACCATGAATCCAAGCTCTGTTTGATGATGCGAACATGGAGTTAAAAAGTAGAATTGGTTATATCAAATCAGCTGTGATGCTTTTAATTGTTTCGGATATCAGTTTTCCCAGGTTTAGTTGACAAGTCTGTGGATAATTAACCTAATTATGTGATTTTGTGATGATTTATTTAACTGTTAGAGTTGACCACGAAGCTCAATATCAGTTTAGAATGACATTTGGCTGTCTCATCATTGCACTTTGATTATTAATGCCTCACTCCTTTGTTCTTTGCTACTAGGTATACAAGATGCTAGGGTCATTTCTTACTAGAGGACTTGTGTAAGTTATCAGCCATTACTCAGTGCTATCTCAAAACTACACTATAATGTGCATTATCATCAGAAGTAAGCTAACATTGATGAGTTGGCAGGTTGGCTTTTGGCTACGCTTACCCAGCTTATGAGTGCTATAAAACCGTCGAATTGAATAAGCCGGAGATTGAGCAGCTTCGCTTCTGGTGCCAATATTGGTACACTTTCTACAAACTCCCTTTTTTTTTATCATTTCTTAAGTTTATGTTAGCAGGATGCATTCAGTTGGTGAGTCTGTTGTATTTCTGTTGATGCTGCAGGATTCTGGTTGCTGTGCTGACTGTTTGCGAGAGAATCGGAGATGCTTTTATTTCATGGTAATAACTTATAGCTTGAATGCTGATGCAAAATTTTATGCAACCTGATCGAATCGTGGGTTTATCCTAACATTCTGGTATTGCTTTCTTCAAGGGTTCCAATGTACAGCGAGGCTAAGTTGGCATTTTTTATATACTTGTGGTACCCCAAGACCAAGGTGTGTAGCTATCATAAGAACTTAACCTTTTCTTTTTTCCGTTCTCCTACTTTCATCCTTCGCTGATCATGATTTCTTCTCTTTGTGTACCTCTTCCAGGGAACTACATATGTCTATGACTCTTTCTTCAGACCTTATGTTGCTAAACACGAGAATGAAATCGACCGCAACTTGCTGGAGCTGAGGACAAGGGCTGGAGACATGGCGATATTGTACTGGCAAAGAGCGGCGAGCTATGGTCAGACAAGAGTCTTTGACATTTTGCAGTATGTTGCTGCACAATCAACCCCAAGACCTCGCCCTGTTCAGGTACTATTTGCAGGAAGAGATTATATTTTAGTTATAAAATCCAATTATTTTGGTTTTGAGTCTTCATTGAGAATCCAATGCCTTGTGGTTGTTGTGTGATAGAGTAGGTGACTGACTATATATAATACATGTATGCAAGAAGATGGGCTGCTAAATAGTTGGCTTAAAAGTAACTAGGGCACCACATTTGGTTTTTTTCAGGCAATTTGTGAGTAGTTATATGAGTTAGTTTTCTGAGGTAGGATAATGCATCATCCTTATTGTTTGTTTGCTGGATTACCTGTATAACTCTAGATGATGGTAGTTGCTTGTAGGGATGGGAGAATGGTTTTTGGTTTTGGTTTAACCATAAGGCTATTTAAGTCTACAATGTTATGCTAGCAAAGCATTCTGTGAATCTTTGGAATACTACTAATTCTATTCAGCAGCAGCAACAGCAAGGTCCCAGGGGTCGATCAACATCTAATCCACCAACCCGCCGTCAACCAGCAGGGTCAAAACCAGAACCAGAGGAGCCTCCATCTCCCACTTCCAGCACATCATCGAGTCAGCACCAAACTGAACTAGCAGCAGCAGAAGAGGCGGTGAGTTCTAAATCCCCTCAAGCCACCATCGCCCCATCGGGAGCACCAAATCCACCAAGAGCCCCAAATCCACTGAAAGCTCCCAACACACCCACGAGATCACTGTCCGCTCCATCTGAACCACCGACAAACCCGTCTGCCCCGGAAGCAATGCAGATCGAGTCCGCAGCAGCACCTTCGTCGAGTGCTCCTGCTGCCCCAAAGGAGACGGTCATCGAAGAAGCCCTCCGTGTCACTCGTGGAAGGTTAAGGAAAACCAGATCAGGAACCAGGTGAAGAAAGGGGACGGGGAAAAAAACAGTTTGTTCTTCAGCAGGTGTAAATTTGCTAAGTCTCTCTTTAGTTTCTTCATTCCATTTGTTGCTTTATTTGATCGAACACTTCGAAATGCCAAAAAAAAAAAGGAAGAAGAAGAATACTTTGGAGGAAGGAACGTATAATGAGGATGCGAATTTCACTCTGTTATCTACAGATGGCCGTTAGTGGAAGATGTGCTAAGATGCAGTTCATAATGCGGTCAGGAACTGTTCACTTAGAATGTGTATAAAAAATAATAATAGTAGTAAGCATTTGGTAAGAGAGTAGGTATGGAGAAGATTAGCATGGTTCCAACGCAAGTGTATTAGTCGATAGTGGATAGGCTTAAACGCCAGGGTTTTTATTAAGTAGATAAGCTTATTGGAACTGCCAACTGCCATTATATAAAGACTAAAGTTGATGGTGAATGGTGGTGGTGGTCTATAATCTTTTAATTATTCATCTTTTTTTTGGAAAAGAGTAAGCCCCAACGGCTCAATGCAAAGCATTCAAGACTTTTGGCTTACGAGAATGATTTGGATGTTGACTTTTAAATACTCAAATTCGTGACGTTAGGTGAAACTCATGAAACTGGCCTGGACGAAAAGAAATGTATAGAGAGTAGTCGTTGCGTAGCTTCTCTTCCACGTCAACGGCAGCTGCTCTAAGCCTCTAACTAATCCTTCCACGCAATTACGCAAACCTCCCCAACTAAGACAGATACATGGGCCTATCGGGCCTATCATGATGGCCCATTCCTTTAGGGGCCGGCCTTTGATGACTGTGGCCAGGTCCGAAGCCATGTATGACGATGGACAAGGAACCTCTCTACTTAAGGATATAAAAAAATATCTATAATCATAGATATCCCAACATTACGAATACTGGGTATTCGTAGTTTCTCGCTTCTATAAAGTTAATATGCTGGTAAGAAATTATTTGAGATGAGAAATGAAAATTGTTATCCATAGTTATTCATCGATATTCAAATTAAATATGAGAATTTAATTTCATACCCAAATATCATATTGATACAAATATGGATAAAATCAGAACTTATTAGGATAGAGTAACAAATATCAACTATCCTTACATGAGAACCGTTGCCATCCCTAGCTCTATTGCTTCAGTTAACCTATAACCAGTACTTGGAAAGAAAGAGTATTTAGTTTACTATGATCTTAATCAATATTAAGTTTTGCATTAAGAACTGAACTGCGATAAAAGGAACATCATTATTGGAAATGCAACAAATAGAAGAAATTTATTATATGGCCAAATATTTGAACGAAGTCCTATGAACCCTTAATCTTAATTTCAGGGTTCGGTTATTTTTAAGCCCTGTGATCAGCGTCAACCCTAGCTGAACTAGCTATTTACACTTGGTTTCCCGGAAAGTACCTACCTAAACTACAAAAGAAATACCTCTTCAGACATTGTTGCATTGCTCGTAATTCATATATCTAGATCAAACTCCTCAGGATGGCAAATTACCATATAGGAGTCACAACATGAGCCTCTAACACTGTTACATTGACTACTCAGTCACGCCATAACTGAGAGAGACCAGCTTCATTATTCGATCGAAGCCAGTAGTCATCGTAATTCTGTCATTGATGAATAAGGTAGAAACAACAAGGAAAAAAATAAGCCTATTAATGTAGGTCCATTATCAATCAAATGACGGGATGGACGAAATATGTGACTGATACTTACATCATCATAAGAAGGTACGATCCTCTGAATCCCAGGAGTGCAAGATGAAGAAGTAGAGTCGTTTGGAGAATTGATGGAACTATGTCCAGCATCATCGCATGTGTCCATTTCCACCACATCCTTCGCTTGGTGATTGTACTTGCTGTTCAAACAAGAGAGTTTCACTTCTTGAGTTCCTTCTGAAGTGAATCTCACGACCAATGGTAGATTTTTGGCAAAGCTAGATACAGAAATTAGAAATGTAGAAGATCATATACCTCAATAGATACAAATCAATTGGTCCTGTGACACTCCTAATGATCATTCTGTGTTGGCGGGAACCCAAGGCCTGTTTCATTTTAAACAATTTGATTAGCAGATGGTAATTAAACTTTGAGACGGAAAGTGAAAAAAACTCTATCTATGCAGGTCAAACAGTTCGTACTTCGTCACCGTCAGGATCAGGAACTTCGAGATTACTAGCAGGAGGGGCTTTGATTGTCATCAAGGTACTATTCTGTGGCAACATCAGTCACAGTTTCTAACATGTTAATTACTTAGATGGAGAAAGAGAGATATGTTTGCATCAAAGTTAAACAGAGATTTAACTAAGATTCCATTGACCTGGAATTGGGGAATGCTGACAATATCTTCCTCTGTCAGAAAGAGATGCTTCTGATTGCTTTTCTCTGCTTGTAGGCGTCTTAAACTTTCTTCCCTTTCCCTATAGAGTGAGAAAACATGATTAACTTCATCGATCTGCAGTTGAAAGCTGAATAAACATGATGAACTTAACCCCTCTGCTCTAACAGACCTTATAGCTTCATCAAGCCTGCATTCTTCGGAACGAAGACTATCAACTTCAGCCTGTGCAGAAGAAAGGTTGGGTAGGGTTTGTGAAACTAGTAGTAGTAATGTTGTGATTCTTAACATATCTCTCTAAACAACAGCATCATTAATGAAATTCATGTAGCATTCATTGATCCGTACCTTTAATATGTTGACATCACAATTGAACTCCTGCGTCCCAGAACCATCAGACAAACCCCTGATGCATACACAATTCAGTGGAACTTGCAAATCACAAAATAGGAACAAACGAGATGATAAGGAATGAGGGTTGAGAGAAGAAGGTTCAGGGGGTATTACTTCCACCGTATATGGTTTTTAGAAGTTTTCTCTATCAACCCTATTCCTTCCAGAACATTTGTGATATCATATATCCTTCTCTTCTGAACCTGATAACAAAGAACAATGGAAAATAGCATAAAAGAGACTGAAACGATTAGTTCCCCAATCGCACAACATTAAATATACCATAATTCTCATGCAGCATTGTACTATGGTACATATATTGAATACCTCCAGAACTTCTGCTGTCTTGTTGAGATCAAGGGTGCCATCCTTGGCTTCCTGGATCAATTTCACGAACTTCTTCGTTAACAAACCTGGTCATATAACAGAATAAACAACCCCATCGTTCAGATCACAGTAGCCACATGAGAAATTGCCGTAAATATGCCAACAACTTACCTAAAGAACTGTCATATCGACAACCACTGGTTGGGCTCTGACCATCAACAGACTCTGCCAAGTGAAGCACAAACAAAGAGAACACAGGCTCATCATGAAATGCAAGAAAATCTTGGCTTTTGAAGTGGGAAGTTGAACAAAGTGGGGGGAAAAAATGAAAAACTACCTGGGTTAGACTTCTTCCCCGCTGACTTATTTTGTTTTGTGACCTTCCCCTTGCTATGCTGCTTCCCCTTGATGGGAACATCAGCATTCCAGCAATTAGGGACTTTCACAACTCCTCCATTCTGTAACTTGAAATTACCTTCCTCACTCGTGTTGTTATAGTTAAACTGCAAGCAATCAGCATGAAAATTCGTTTCAGAAACCTCCTACCTGATACGAACTCTACACACCGGAAGCAGTAACATGTAAAAGAGCACTCGGTGATACAAACTACACGAACCCAGCAGTTCACAGTTCCTTCTTCCAAAAATTCTTCGCCCCGTTTCCCCATTTCAAGCAAAGCAGCGAACAAAAGCATAGAGCGCCATTACATGAATTCCTAACCAAACAAGCTCAATTCGGAAGGGAAAAAAAAATCCTTCCGAAGCATTCATTCAAAGGAACCGGAACCAAGCAACACCGAAAAGGTTCCGGAAACGCAGAAAGCGGACCAGGAAGCAATGAGCCAAACACAATGTCAAAATAGACAAAGACGAACACGAAAAGAAAACTCACGGAGAGAGCAGGATGCGAATTAGGCGATTGGAGAATCGTCGCCGCCGTCGGGGGAGGTGCGAGAAGGCTGCCGCAGTTGCGAATGACGCCGCCTTCGCCGGAAGGAAGGAGAGGGGAAGCGAAGATTCGATTGGGAGAAGGAGGGAAAGGAGAGGCGGCGATGTTTGGATTCGGAGCACGGAACTGAGAATGAAGGAGCTGGAAGTGGAACGGAGATGGCGAAGGAGCTGAACGCGTCGGATCTTCAGTGGAGTTGGTCGCCATGGCCATTGGATTGAGTGAGTGAGAAAGGGATGGAGGCGCGAAGAAGGGTTTTTGTTAGGAGATGGAGGGAAAAGGGCGAGAGTGGCGGAACGGAAGAATGAGGAGTTTTTGTATAGAAACAGGCGGCAATTAGTTTGGGGAATGGACTTCTGGAACGGAAAATAGACCCAAAAGCGGAAAAATTGAAATAATTTCCCATTTATTGAAAAAAGACAGGAGCTAGAAATCGAAACCATTACGTTTCTATCACCGTCTTATTTAGTTATTTGTTCCATCAATTATTATAATTTTTCTTTTTTTCGTGGGTATGAATTCAACTGCTCATCGTGTGATACATTATTTTCCAAAGCGAATTATGAAAAAATGCAATCAACGAAAACAAGAAAAACAATAAATAAAGCGATTTTGTTGGGCCAAGACTGAGCTGGCCCGCGGAGGAGGTTCGAAACTACAAACTATACATCCAGGCCCAGTAACTTAAATACACCTACTAGCAAAACCGGGATTAGGGATGGCAATGGGGCGGGTTTGTCTAAACCATCCCCATCTACAAATACCCAAACCCATACCCGCCCCATACCCATGCGGGGGAATATTTTGCAAACTCATCCCCATACCCGTGGGTTTCGGGTACCCATGGGTAATACCCGTACCCATACATCCAACATTATTATACCTAAAATTTACAAGAAAAGTTTTAATTATTACTCTAAACGAACCTATTATATCATGAAGTCAACAAAACACGATCATTTTCTTAATACGGTTCAAAGTATATGATCCTAAAACATCAATTAATACATAATATAGAGTATAATATTTTTCAAATTATTATCTTCTAACTCTTATACATCTACTAAGTAATAATTAACTAACATAATCTTGTAGACAAGGGGAAAAGTGAAAGAGTGAAAGGAGAATTGAGGGAAATGAATTAGATTTTGATTAAAATGGTCACTCAATTGCATTTTTACTATTTATTTCCTTGAGTTATCCTCATCACCATTGATAGATTACAATTTAATCCACATATTTTTTTATATGTGAAGAAATTCTCTTGGTGGGGCGGGTATGAGTATTGGTATGGGGCGGGGGAGGTCAAAACCATACCCGCCCCATACCCATCAAACTTTTTGCGGGTTTTACCCATACCCGCCCCATACCCGGTCAAAGCGGGGATTCCCCGCGTTGACTGGGTCGGGGGCGGTCGGATACCCGCGGCCATGGATTTTATTGCCATCCCTAACCGGGATACAATACCGCCCTGTTTACTTCCATTTTTTCGTTTCCTGTTTCCTGTTTTCATGTAATAAATTTGGCAATCGAAACGAGAAAACATGTTTATTTTGCATTCCATTTTCTATTCATTTTCAACTCTGAAAACAGAAAGTGGCAGCTTCCTGCTGTTTTCGGAAATGACGAAATGTTGTTTTCACTTGTTTTCAACATCTGTTTTCTAAAAAACAGGAAACAGAAATGAAAATAAACAGGCAACCATGGAACATGCCTTTTGCGAAACAAAGAAACAAAGTCGAACCTCAAAGAAATGAGGTGACAAGAACAGAGCCTGAATGACCACCAGATGAGCCGCTTTGTAACCATGGAATACAAACTTTCGAACACAGAAAAGGACAAACTACAACACCCGCAAAAACAACCCGAACAACATAACTCATGCAATGAGCAAAGTCCACAATGGTCGCTCGAGTTGCAGAAGCCTTCCAAAGATCCAAATGAAAACCCGAATAATCAACCCAGCGAAGCCATAATCCGTTGTCCAAAGCCGCCACAAAAAGTATACTACCTGTAGAAGAATAAAAACCTTTCCATCCTACAAGTAAAGAACAAAAGCATATAGGCTTTGGAAGGAAGAAATACACTCCTTAAAAAGGGTAACCACCAATCAACAAGAGGGGAGTGTGTGTGGCGGACACCCACGACTTCCTCAAGATCAACAATCGTGGTTGCGATCGAGATCCCCAATTCTTGAGCATCGAAGACACGAGGGCGACCAGAAAGCGAAGCAATGCAGAAGAAACAAACCTTCATATGCTCCTCATGCGTGGGTGTTGCCCACGACTACTAAAGCACACGAACAAAGAAACCAGAGCAAGGAAAAACGGAGAACATATCAAAACTACCCGCTTCCCTTCGTAACCTCTGTTTCCGAGACTTATGCACCAATTTGTATACATGTGTTAGTGATGCCCACGACTACGTGATTATCTGGAAAATGGAACCGGATCAAGGGACGTTAGAAAAACGCGCCATCCCCGACAACCAATCGCCGTTAACCACCCAAAACCACTCCGAACCGTCAAAAACTCCCTCTTCTGCGAGAGTTGAAGACGGGCAAGATTGCGAGTTCCAAAACCCCCCTCTTCTACTGTATTAAGGTGCGCCAAGTTTGATTAGGCCCAAATTGGACGACGGACTCATTTTGGATTAGCCCACCGGAATAAGTCCGAAACTACGACCCATTCCCATGCCTCCAGGGTCATTGGTAAGAGTCCTCTTTTGCTGTTGTTCACTGTAGACAACAATCAAACGACCCTGGGAGTTCACTGATTGAGCAGATGTTATATAAGGATACCGTAAATAACTAACACAAAGGTAAAAATACATGAACAGGGAGGGATGAAAAGTGCAGTTTTGTAACCCTAAATTTTCAGGCATTGGATTTGGACCTGCAGGGCTACAAGTTTATGTAAAAAGGAAAGTACGGATCAGAAACAGGTCCAAAAAAGGAACACAAATGTAAGGCTAGTATACACTCTGGCCGATTATGTATTCGTGCTATTTGGCCATCAACTGAACGCTAAAGCGCCGCCTTTTCATGCTTCGGTGTGCCTCCATTAGCTGCAGTGGTATGTATCCTCGTGCCACATAGGATGTAGCCACCAAATGCATTCATTTGCATGAATGGGTGACTTCTCGATGGAAGAACCTGTAATGTTTTGGCATAATGATGAGAACTGAATTGGTAAAATGCCAGGATGAGAAAACTAGCAAGCAAAGATGGAGCCAGAAACCTGAACCGGGAGGACTGAAAAATCTAAGCTCAAGGGATTTGAAGCATGATAATTGGCAGGATGGCTAAAGCTTTACCAACTACTCTATTTCTAATTTTGTTACGAATTATACATGTGATTCACCTACATTTTAAAGTTGAACCCCCTAAAGCTTTACCTACCTATCACCACCACCACTACTACTAACAAGTGATCTGAAGAGATCACACACTCAAAGGACAGTTATTGATTCCAGGAGATTGGAGAATGTGTATTACCTGATACTCGCGAAGCCAGGGTTCAGAAAGTTGCAGACCAATAGCCATTTTCTCAACTTGTAAATTGTGCATGCATGTTGCCAAAGGCTGCATTGGGAGAATGGAAAAACAGGATCATTTGAAGTTGTCGTATTACATAGTGACTAACCATTAAAATCTGTGGACAACTGACACTGGTGTAGATATTCGAGTGAGTTTGAAGCAGCTAACCTGGAGATGTTGGTGGTAGATGGCAAATGGAGCGGAATATGACAAAAGTGGAAGCAGCCTTTTAACTGTACTCCACGGATCTAGATCAGGTGCAGCAATTATGAGGCTGCAGATAGTTGGGACACTCAAAAGTTAGCGTTTAACCAAGTGTGTTTTCATATGATTAGTTAATGTAAGCACCCATTTATAGAGTATACCAAGAGAAACCCTTCTCCTTCCACAATTGAAAGGCCTCAGGTGATGGCTTTTCACCGGCTTTAGGTGATTTGTTTATTTTGATAGTTGGAGCAGTCTCGGTATCTGCATCAGCAACCTCGCAATCAGCTGAAACAGACATCTCTTCCACATTCATGGCTGAAGTCTCATCCTGCATGTATAGTGACCAAAAAGAATAAACTTGAGATGATAGAACATAGAATATGAGACTATCGATTGGGGAATGAGAGAGCAACATACTTACATGTAGTTCCATATGATTTTCACTTTCATGCTTATCTTTTTGCTCAGAAGTTACAGGTTGAGCTGAACACAGGTCATCCAGATGAGTCCGCACAATCCTGGAGCAGGAAATATTAGGTTTTTCCTTGCTTAACATTTAGCATTGTCATTGTACAAATCCTAAACACTCTACATATGAGAGCTAACTATATCAGTTCCTGAATTGGTGATTGGATAAGTATATCAAAAGAGAGGGAAATCCAAGAGGTACCTCTTGCAAATTTCATCATTGAAATTGAATATTCTAACTATTTCCATGGAATATGGTGCACTTCCAATATATGTATTGCAGACAAAACCAGTACCTGTTAAGAGTTCCACAGTCATGGACTAGATTTAGAGACAAAAAGTATAGGTCCAAGATCAAGATCATGCATGCAAAAGTGATTATCATAAAGTAATAGCACCAACCTCCTAAACGTTCTGCTACAGCACCAGTAAGTAGACCACCAACCATATCGACAACAAGGACATCAGAGCTGGCACCAACATTAGCCATAGACAGCAACAGGGATAGTGTGTCAACACGTAGAAATCTGCTCCGCATACAAATAAGTAACACTAGTCAGCTAACAGATATAAGATTCATTTGCTATTACCCAGCTGTATAACAATTAAAACACTATTATAAATATTAAATCAACTATTACAAGAAATATGAGATTACCCAATTCTGGCAGCATATTTCTTGAAGTAAGCCTCACATATGCTGCAATAAACAATGAGAAGGAAAAAAGTGTGAGCATCTGAAAGCAAGCCATAGGAAAACAACATAGACATATCTGTGATGATCGGTTGGTCCTGCTAATACAACAGACTAAACAGAAACGTCCAACTGGGAAAGCATTTACCTTACAACTACACTGCATTAAACAATAACTAGGATAATTTGTATGGAGCAATAAAGGGTAAGGGAAACAGAATGCAGATAAATAGATGGGTACCTTCGTGTAAATGGTCTCCTCATAAGTACTCTAGGTGCATATTTCTTCTGCTTTTTAAGCCTATATTTTTCCTGCAATGATGAGAAAACATATATAAAAAAAAAAAAACATTAACAAAAACTCCGAACAATTTGCCTCTGAAATCTCACTAAGCACAAACCGCATACTTGAGAAAACTGAGTCTTCTTCCCGTATGTTGCACTATTAGCAATCAGAGCTTCAATAATCTCATCACCTTTCGCACCGTGCCTGCACCAAACAACCAAAAGCTTTCCTCAAGAAATTCCAGATTAGTCAAGGAAAGGACCATACAAAGTTACAAACTAGCAATTCTCACTTGCGCATTTCATCAATGTCTTCTCCTGTGAGAGTTTGAGCTTTGTTATCGTCCACTAAAGCACGATTGTCCCGCGATTCGTCCACAACTTCACATTCCCCTTTCTCTTGGACATTATTATTCTCTACAAGCAAAAGGAAGAACAAAGGAAGCCAAAACCAAATCTCAGACTCGCAGACCATCTAACAGTGAAATGCAATCAAACAGAGAACACAAACATTAGAGAAGCTAACCTTCGGCTGATGGAGTAACTCTAGCCAAATACGTCCGGTCACCTGCGCTCTCAATTTGAAACAAAGAGCCGTAGGGGCAGCCAATCAACGGCTTCAAAGAGCAGTTCTTATTGCCAATTTTCAATGTCCTGTGAAAGATCAATCGAGGAAGCTACCTAAGCACCATCCATTTAAAGAGCACAAAGAATGAATCAATCGTAGCTCGGGAACGACGAACATGAACACTTACGCTCCCGAAGTAAGCCGAGAGAAAACGAGCCGGTCGCCATCGTTGATATCGAGCAACACGCTGCAGCCTTCCCACGCCACTCTGGAGCTCTGCATTGAATCCGACTGAAGAACGCAGCTGTCACTCATGGCTTTTGATTTTTCGCGCTTATTGTGATCAGAAGGTAATTGAAGAATTGGGCGAAGTTCAAAATGCAGTGAGGATGAAGAGAAGAAGGAGTAAGGACGTGTGTATTGTTGCTGATACAAAGCAATGAGGAAGGGACTAGGGTTTTGGAGCGCAGGAAGTGAAGGAGAAGAGAGGGAAGGTTGAACTGAAGCTGAAACGTTTCGAGTAGGGTTTAACTGACAACCGTTGGTGAAAAATCCGAACACGATCTGGGAGTGGGACTCTGGGAGTGAGTGGGAGAGGAAACTTTCGGTATACCCGGAAAGTTATGGACCGAAACCCAATATCGTTAGAAGGCTCCGAGATTGTGAAATGCGCTCAGTGGATTTGGGCTGGGCTTGGCAGTAAAATTCCCACTCCTACTTCGTCTAGTTTTCCATTTTAAATTTTTTTATTTCCTCCAAAAACATTTTGGGAGAATTTCCTCCTTAATTTTAGTTAGAGATAAATTTTTAGTTCCAAAATTAATATTTAAATATCCTTTAATAAAAAAAAAATACATGCCTGAGACTAGGGATGAACAATGGGTGGTTTTCGGTGTTAAACTGACTCATTGACTTACTAGCGGGTTGGTACAACTGTGACTTGCAATCCTTCTACACCCTTCTTCTGTTTGGGTTGGGTGGGTGGCAGATGGATTGACTGGATGAATTTTTTTTAACTCAAACATGTATTGCTTACATCAAATAATAGAAATCATTGACCTAATCTCCATTTTTGGTTGAAAATTGAATGAATTTTTTTAAATCAAACATGTATTGCTTACATCAACTAATAGAAATCATTGACCTAATCTCCATTTTTGGTTGAAAATATTATCCAATAAAAAGTCAATAACTCAATATATCATAAAATCTGCATTAAGTTCACACATTATACCCACAAATATTTTCAAATAGGGAATGAAGAAAACCTAAAGAGTTGATGAGAATATAATTTAAGTAGTGAGATAAATAAGTAATAACCGAAACTCAATCGACCAACAGATCGAGCACAAAGTTCTTTGCAAATAAGAACCCACCTGCTGACCTTGCATACTCCGGGGAGCAAGTGATGGGTGTTCATAGGTGTCAATCGGGCGGGGTTCGGGCTGGGTTCAATCGGGTTTGGGTTCAAACGGGTTGCGGGTTAGTCGGGTTGCGGGTTTATCGGGTTCGGGTTCATTCGGGTTGCGGGTTCATCGAGTTTTGGGTCGGCGAGTAGCGGGCAGATCGGGTTGCGGGTTGTTGAGGTCAGCGCATCGAGTAACTTACTCATTACTCGTTACCAACTTACACATTTTATTACACTAATTTAAAATATTTTCTCAACTTTTTATCCAAATTTTTTTACCTCGTATATATATACTTAATTAAAAAAACTAGTCAAAATGTTGAATCAATTTGTATGACTTGCAAACTTGTTATATAATTAATTGTAATTGGTAAAGTACTACACTAACTAATAGTAATGGTGATATCAACATTCGCAACCAAAAGACACCATTAATTGTTTATTTGATATTTTAGTATTATTTCAGTAGCAATTGGATTAAAGTATCTTGTTTTGTATAACCATGCAAATATGGTATTTGGCAAAAGTAGAGTGATAAAAGGAGTTATTTCGAAATAACTCATTGCCCAAATAACTTCAGTAAACTGTTGTCAAACAAGTTATTTGTAAAATTGTTCGAATTATCCTAAAAATTGAAACATTAAAAATTAACTATCAAATTTAGTAAAATTGTTGTGACTTCAATCATAACTTACTCAATAACATATATCCTATACACTTAGCCTTACACTCAATCGACAATATTAAGTTAGTGTATGTTGTTGATCGTATACTCTAAACCATCAATACATTATACACTAACCACATACCCTATACCCTAACCATATATCCTTATGAGTTGTGATTTTGCTAGTATAGTTAATTTAAATGTGAAATTCATACTTTGATGTTCAAAACATAGATGAAAAATGATATTTGCTAATTGCTATACCCTAACCACATATCTTATACTCTACACTATATACCCTGTAGCCTAATGATAACGATGTAATTGCATGATTTTATACCCCTATTTCTTATCCATTTGCGGAGCATGGTTGTGTGTTTTGGCCTATTTTACGCCGGGTTGTGCTACTTTGTCCTATTTCAGGTCCCAGGCGTCGAAGGGAAGGCCAAGCGCGAGTTTCAGAGCATTTGGAAGTCGTTTGGTCGAGCCAGGACCAAAACACGGGCAGGAGGCCTCAGGAACACGGCCGTGTTCCTGACCGTGCTTTTACTGCCGAGGCTCCCCAAGTGTGTGCTACACCAGCTAAAAAACACGGGCGGGATTGATCAAAACACGGTCGTGTCCACCCTAGAACACGCCCGTGTTTTCCCCAGGCCGTGCCCGTGTATTTACCACGTGGCAGAGGGCACGGGCGGGCTGGATCAGAACACGGCCGTGTCCTCGACCGTGTTCTGGCCAGTGATGCTCTTTTAGGCAGATTTCAGCCAAAAAGAGGGAGGATTCGAGTTTTAGAGAGACAGAGCGATTCCTAGAGAGAGAAAGCGACGAACAAGAGTCTCCAAGTGCCCTAGCTTGATCTTCATCACCATTGGAGCTTGGCTTGAGCTTGGAAGAGTGCCGATCAACGTCCAGGAGCAGAAATCCATCCTTCACAGTATGATTTCCGCGTCTGAATCTGCTTTTGCTTCTTTCTCCATGGAGTAGTTCTCCCATTCATCTAGGTGTGGGAAACCCTAGATCTGTATGTTAGGTTTGATTGTATGAACCCAAGTACTGTTTCTATGATTTGATTATATTCGATTGAGGTTTGAATGATTGAATGGCATGAATCCTGATCAAATTCCTGTTGTTTCTGCTTTAACCTAGAATGAGAATATCTGCCTAGGTTGATAGAGCATCCTTAATTGAAGGTAGTGAATTGGTGACTTTAATCGAGGAGCCAATTCGCTATTCTGTACCGAATTCAATTCGGTAGTGGAGGTTTGGTTCGTTAGGGCCTCAATCTGTTTACTCCGGTGGAGGTTAGTCGCCCGCTAGAGACTCAGATTGAGAGGGTCTGGAGACCTTTAGTCGAGACTTCAGACTGTTTGAGAACCTTCCGCAGTATAATTATCATAGAAATTGAACTTGGTAATTACAATCCGGCTTAACTGCAGTCTAGGGGGAACCGTATCCGGGTGACCTCTCTTAACCTGAAAACAACCGTTTAGTTGCTTTACTGAGTAGTCATCACATCTAGGACCCTGGTTGACATTAAAACGTAAACCCGCTTTACTATGCTTTAGGAAGTGGTTTCACTTGGCCATTTTCTAGAGTGACAGTAGGAGTGAGTCACCTAACCATGTACCATAAACATAAATTAAAAAGAGATCTTCTGCCGTTAAAGACTTCAAATGACTTCAAGTGAACATATGTTAATAAAAAACTTAGAACCGTAAAAATCATTAATACCTTATACCCTAACCATATACACCCTAAACCATCTGTACCTTAACAATCATATATGACTGAGTTATTGCAATCGTATGACTTAACATGCTAAGTTTAACCCCCATTTTGAAATAAAAGTTCAACACGAACACAAATTAAATGTTTCAAAATTTTACTAAGTGTTGTAAAATAACAATCATGTAGTGTTGAAGTTGCAATAAATGTAGAAGCATAGAATACAGGTAGACAAATTAAGTGATATGTAAAACAAATGATTGTTGTAATTAATGGTTAATTTAGTTATTAGCCCATAAATAATTATCTATATATATATATGTGTTTATGCTTTATTAATTGGACTTCAACCTAACTGTACCCGGTTTAATGATATCGATTAAGAGGTTAAACCCTATGGATACGACCCGCCGCCCTAACCAATTTCCAGTCTCCCTTCTACGATCCCTCATTCGCCTTGGAGGGTCCCCTCTAAGTTCGAAGTTCGATCATAAGCTGCCTATCAAATCTGAAATCTCCAACAAAATCATCGTTTCGAAACCCAAATCCTTTTATTATTTGATCCACATTCGATTTAGCTCCCTATCCAATCTCAAATCCCCAACATCATCATGTTTCATACGCCAAATCTATGTATCCACATTCGAAGAGAAGATCCCCATCCAATATGAAATCCTCACATAATCATCGTTTTGAACCCCAAATCCTTTTATCCACAAATCGACGGTTTGTTCATCGCCATTTTATTTCCGTGCGGAATTTACTCGCCTATCTCTTTCTAACATGATTACGGCGACCATGTCTATTATTGTGTTCATCAAACTTTTCGTTTGCAAAAGAACCCTTGAAAGAGGTTTGCTAACCCTAGGGTTCATGTCTCTAGTGCTTTGTCATCTTGTCTTAGCGTTATTGTCATTTTCTCGAAACTTCTATCACTCGGTGAAATTAAGGTTTCCTGATATGCAGTGTTCGTCTCGCCCAGAGGATTGAGGAAGGAGATGAAGATGACCTAATTTGATTCGAATCAGATGGAGAGGTCTCCTTAATTTGTGTTTATGTATTAACGGTGCGTTTAGGACTAATTCTAGTTGGACTGGGTCTGATCATTGATTTTTGCAGGCTTTTAAATAACATTCAAACGTGGGCTTGTACATGACCCATGACACCTAGTTTGTTGATAATAGATACTGAGTTCCACATTGTCTTTAGGTTGGGCCTTTGATAATTGTCTATCTCAGTGGCGATTCTCTGTTTTACTTATTTTCATCTGCTTCTGCTTCTAAAATCCTGATCATTCATTGAGTACACGCAATTTAAACATAATTCTTTGTTCCATCTTTTTTGGGATTTGGTAAATGCTAGCGTGTCTCTTTACACATTTAGCGGTACGATGTAAACTACAATCCGCCCAATTTAACTCTTCATTAATTGAGATCCCATTCCACTCTCTCACCGATTTCCCCTCTTTATGCAATGCACTCGTACATAACAAACCTCTTGTAGACTAATTAGAGGCTTGTGGTTGGATACTGAGTGAGGATATTTTTTTAATTTATGTTTTGAAACGAAAGTTAGAATTTCACTTTTGAAGTACCTATGTACTTTAGTTGGGCAAGTATTTTCAAAATGTAAAATTTTATCAGCGTATAGGTATACGATTGTTGTATAAGGTGTTGATGTTAAAGGAAATGGGTACTGACTGCTTAGGGTATTAGGTTGTTGATGGTATAGAGTATATGGTATATGGGTAGGTTATAAGGTGTTGATGGTTTAGAGCAT